CCGCAAGTCAAAGACCAGAATCTTTGCCCCTGAGTTAGAAGGTTTCATATTTGCAACTGAGGGATTCTCTGGATGGTTGTTGAACGGGATAAGGCTGTCTCATTGAAGGAATGGCTTTGATGAAGCAGATATCCATTTGATAAAGAGCTACTTTACCCTATGACATCGACATGTGTAGTTGGAAGTATCTGGTTATTGATGACTAACAGTGGACCCTCCCCAGTCAGAATACATTACCTGGGCTGGCCGTATCTTTGGGATGATGACGCTAAGAAGGCCCTGAATTCCAGTTCCAGCATCGTCGTTGCACCTGGCCGTCTATTGATCGACGGACGCTCCTGAGTCCAGGCCTTGCCTCATTTCCATTCCATATTACCTACTACTTCCGGCTTCCTATTTCTGACATTGATTCTGTGGTATCATATCACTCCCTTGGGCTTACTTGTCAATAACTGCAATCTAATCACCACTTCCATTCTCCTTGGTACGGTTTCTTGGACTTGCATCAAGAAGTCGGTAAACGATACCGACCAGACAGCGCACAGCATCGCTACAGTACCTACCTTTAGTACCTGGAGTACCTAATCACTCACAGGTTGGTCCATTTCTTCATGGGTATCACATTCACCACCAACTTGACCATTTCGATCATAATCAGAAAGAACCTCACTCAGGACCTCCTGGAGACTGCCTGATAACTCTATCCCCTTTCTGCTTTGTTTTCTTCTCTTCTGCACTACAACCTCACTCACAGCGGGCATTTATTTTGCCCTTCGCTATACCTTGCTTGTACCCTCCACTCAGGCTGGTAACGCATCCACCTCCCCAATCCACATTGGCCTAGCCTGGCCTGGCCTCCTTTACTTGGTGCTTGTTTGGCCCATCAAGTAGAGGCGGTACTTTGCTGTACTGCTAAGCTGTCGGTTCTCACAGGTGTACTTGGCTGTACGTAAAGTACCTTGCCTACCCATTTGATGCAAGCTTGCCTGTCTACTAACCTAGGCTGAACCTGGACTGGCTGGGAGAGAGAGGTGCTGGCTTCGAGCGTTCCAACCTCCCCCTCTCGTCTCTTCTCTTCCCTCCCCGTCCCCGTATTACAGGCTGCAGGGGCTAGAAATGTACTATTATGGTCCCGTACTGTACAAAGGCTGCTACTGAAGATCTAAGAGGTTAAAAAGAGGTTATTCCCACCTTTTGAGATATCCTGATTTGTTACTAGGGGTCTTAAGGTAGGTATCTCTTAACGTACTGTACTTGCTACTTAGCTGTAAGTCCCTCTAATTAGAGGTACCGGCACGTAGTGATCTACAATGTACGATACATTTCTAGCCCCTGCAGCCTGTAATACCATTTCCTATCCCCTGCTCTGCTCTACCTGCCCCATGCTAGGCTAGCTAGGCTGCCTTGTGCTGGTACACAGTACCTCCAGGCTAATGCTAGGTACTGGTGTTGGTCCCTTTGCTTTGCCTTACCTTACCTCACCTTACCTCAACTTTGCTTTGCCTTGGTTTCCTGCCTGGCTTGGTTTTCTGCGGCGGTGTCTGTCTGTCTGTCTGTGCTGCTGCTTTGCTTCATCGAGGCCCACTACCACTGTACAAGGCCTGTGCCTCTCTTTTTAACTCTGGCCAGCGCCTGTGCCTCTTCTCTTTTTGCTTGGACTGGACCCTTTACCAGCTGGTAGTCGCACGTCAATCAATCGTGCCCATCTGTCTGTCTTCCACTCCCGCTCACCTCCTCTTGTTGCAGGTTTCAAAGTTCCGTCGACCATAAGTTAGCCTCCTCAGTACTCCCAGGCTCTCCACCTCCACCTATTCGCTGGCCTAGATCCAGAAACCAAACCAAAACCAAAGCGCACCTCAACGCAACTCCATACCAATCCGCTACCTAGACCTACCGAAAGCTGCATCCACCGCAATCTTGACCTGTCTTCAACCACCTCAATCCGCCATCAAACAGTACAGCCCCAACATATTCGCCTTTTCTCGACTTATCATCCTTATTTCGACCTATTCTCCCCAACACCTATTTGGACTCGACTTTCTTCGCTCCGCAACCCCCCGCTCTCTTACCGTAGTCGCGCGCATCCGCCCGCCAATAGAGCTTTACCACTCGACCGCTTGCATTTTACTTTAACATAGACGAGCTCCTGCCGAGGAGCTTTCGTGAGGAACAATGGCTGTTGTCGCAACTATTAAGTATGTTTCTATCCCTTGGGTTTGCGCTGCCGCAATGCTATGCCATGGTTTGCTTCCTCTTGCTGGCTTAATCTCTACACCGAGATTGTCCCACGGCAAAGCACCTAAGCATACCTGCGCATCTACTCTGCATGCCCGTTGCCCTGTCCGCCATTCGCACAATCATTCTTGAGGCTAATCCGGTTTACCCCTTTCTAGGTGCGTCGTCGTCGGTGACGGTGCTGTTGGAAAGACCTGTCTTCTCATCAGCTATACAACAAACAAGTTTCCCTCCGAATATGTCCCTACAGTCTTCGACAACTACGCAGTTACGGTTATGTGAGTCTACCTGCACGTCCATCGATCGACGCCAGCCCCCACAGGGTATCCCCACCTGCAATGGACGACTTCAGTCGTGAAAGCCATCACCGACTTCTGGCTTGAGCAGTGTGATGGATTCTACGATAAGAGGGACGATCTGCGGATATGTTTGATGGACGGCGACTTGGCCAGTTGAAAGAATGGTTACTGATTGCTTACAGGATAGGAGATGAGCCGTACACTCTCGGATTGTTCGATACCGCTGGTCAAGAAGATTATGACAGACTGCGACCTCTTTCATATCCCCAGACCGATGTCTTCCTCGTCTGCTTTTCAGTCACCTCGCCTGCTTCCTTCGAAAACGTACGCGAGAAGTGGTTCCCCGAGGTCCGCCACCACTGCCCTGGCGTTCCCTGTTTGATTGTCGGTACCCAGGTGGATTTGAGGGACGACCCTAGTGTTCGGGAGAAGCTGTCAAAGCAAAAGATGCAACCAGTACGACGAGAGGATGGTGAACGAATGGCGAAGGACCTGGGTGCTGTCAAGTACGTCGAGTGCAGTGCTCTCACCCAGTATAAGCTTAAGGATGTATTTGATGAGGTATGTCTTCACTGTTTGAAAACTCTCCTATCTATAAACATGACTTGGAGACATTTTCTGATTGCATTATACAGGCTATCGTTGCAGCACTTGAGCCCCCTGCTCCTAAAAAGAAGTCGCACAAGTGCCTCGTCCTATAAACGGAAATGGGATAGCTGCAGCCGAGCTATGACACCACCTTCTCCTACCTCCCCTGGGAATTTTTGGTTGAGTTAGGAACATGCCCAGTAGACCTGCACGAATAGAGTTCTTTGGCGAAGGCACGGCAAGAGGACATTGGGATGACCTGTGCTGGTCGAACAGAACGATATGGGTTTCAAAGAGAGTGATCGTTCTTTGCATGAGATAAACTAAGAGACGGAACAAAACTCGGGGAGCAGGCGTCCTGTCCCGCAACGAGAAGAGGAAGAAGGATTTGAAAGGGCGACACCGATCGAGAGCTGCGGGGTGCCGCTGTGCGTAGCCCCCAGCCGGAACTTCCACCGAAAAGCCTCTTCTATCCCAGTGGTCTCCCCGAGTTTCTTTAGGCTGGAATCCAATGCATCTTGTTCTCTGGCCCTCATGAGACGGATCAAGTGCCAAGAGAGAGGACTGGTAGCGGACGAAGACAATGATTCACACATCTAGGCGGGAATGCTTTGATAGGAAAGTTTGGCGATTGGGGTGATTTACATCAATGTCTTGTCTTGATTCATACTAAGTTATAGAAAATTTTGTATTTCATGTTTGAATCTTCGGATGGATCATGTTGACTGGCACCGGTGAACTTGCCCTGGCATATGTTTCGGCGGTTGAAGAAGCACAGTGGGATGAGGTATGGTCTTCGCTTTCCAACTCGCCCAGGAAGTGTGTTGGATCTTGCGGGGGCTTCAAAGCTACTCGGTAAAGCTCTTCATACGTACTTGACCTGGGGAGATGCACTTAGTAGTCAAACCCTTGCCAACCTACTCGGTAGAAGGATCGGGTCCGGCCTGTCCTTGGGACCGGCCTCCTGCCGTTGCACATTGTAGATCCAGTGTAGGCATCAATATGCTGGTTGGTGTTGTAAGGGACATGTTACTTGTCTGGGATTATGTCCTGTTCGGGACAATGACAGACTGTTCTCCTCGAGTGCTGTCATGTGTGGTGAATGACGGAGGGCACTACGCCCTTTGGCAGACAGCGTGTACGCCCTATGCGATATGTATCAAGATGATGCGTAATGGATCAAATATGTGTTATGCGCAGAACGGTCCTGGACAACATGATACCGAGAGATGCCTTTTCCTCAACCAACAGTACTGGAGGTATGTCTGTAAGAGCCACACTTGATATAAAGGGGAACTTGATATTACAAAGTCACAGAATTCAGAGGATGGATGCCCCCGTTTATAGCTATTTGACAAACAATTCAGCGGCTGAAGAAGCGTTGCCGGTAAATTAGTAGACATGAGGTGTGCCGTCGCCCCAACTTTCCTATCTCAACCTAGTTCCACACCAAAGACCCATTTTCTGGTCACTATCTCTCAACCCAAAAGTGAAATCATAGGGCCTCTGCGTGCAATTCTATGCCTGAATCAGGCAAACTCGCTCCCCAAACCTCTAGAGGGCTCGAGGCGGGGAAGAAAGACGACTGCGGGGAGATGGTTATCCGGCCAGAACTGCCTCGATTGACCAATCGGCGATCGTCATATCTCTCTCTGAAGCTGGCTTTCATTGAGTTGAGTGAGGTATGCTTGATCTGATGGATCTTGACTCGTGGGGCCGGATGCCCGCCCGGTGGAGGGTGAAGCATAGATAGGTAGTGACTATATAGACCTCACTGGTAGCCTCTCTTTTCTTCTGCTTCTTTCTCTCTTTCTTGTGATTCTTAAGCTCAAATATTTGCAAGTTGACTTCATCAGTGAATTACAACTGCCACTCATCATGAAGCTCCTGAACGTTCTCGCTCTGGCGGGGCTGGTCACAGCTTGCTCTCATGATCATGATGATAAGGAGTGGACGAAGGAGGAACTTGATGAGCTTGAGCAGAAATGGGGTTATGAGGTATGTGATAGGTACTTGGTAGAGAAGGCTCCAAGTGTCTCATTAAACACCATGAACTATCCCGAAAGGTCTATATACTGACTCCTCGCAGTGGCCCTTTGCTGGCATCAACACATTTGCCCATCTCAACCATGTAAAGTGCCTCACTGAACCTACCGAGCCTTTCGATATTGCTATCGTCGGTGCTCCTTTCGACACAGCAGTTAGCTACCGCCCAGGAGCTCGTTTTGGCCCACGAGCGATGCGCTCTGCATCTGCTCGCCAGACATCTATGCGTGGATTCAACCCCCGAGCTGGTATCAACCCTTACCAGAACTGGGCTAAGATTGTGGACTGTGGTGATATTTCCATCACCCCCATCGACAACAACATTGCTCGCGAACAGATGACCCAGGCTTTCAAACAGCTTGGTCGCCGCAAGACGGTTTCAGCACTTGCGCCCAAGGCTCGACTGGTGACTTTGGGTGGTGATCACTCTTTGGCTCTCCCTGCTTTGAGAGCGTTGAACGAGATTCATGGGAAGCCTATCCAGGTCCTGCATTTCGATGGTGAGCTCATTGTTCCCTTGGTTAAATATCTTGTGAAGAACCTCGTTAACACATTCATCACAGCTCATCTCGATACCTGGAACCCAGCTGCCTATCCTTCCTGGTGGGGAGCCACTCAGTTTACCCATGGGTCCATGTTCTGGATGGCCAACCAGGAAGGTCTCCTTTCAAACTCCTCCTCTGAGCGCTCCGTTCATGCCGGTCTACGCACCAGACTCTCAGGTAACGATTTTGCCGACAACGAAGATGACACCTCCCAAGGCTGGGTCCGCTTCACAGCCGACGATATTGATGATCTCGGTACCAAGGGAATAATCGACGGTATCCTCAAAGTACTTGGTACCGAAAACCCTGTGTATCTCTCTGTCGACATCGATGTTCTGGATCCTGCCTTTGCACCCGGCACCGGAACCCCTGAGCCCGGCGGTTGGTCTACCCGCGAGTTCATCCGCATTCTTCGTGGTCTTGAGGGACTGAACCTAGTTGGTGCTGATGTTGTTGAGGTGTCTCCTGCCTACCAGAACGGTGGTGAGGAGACCGCTCTGGCTGCAGCTCAGGTTGTGTATGAGATCATTAGCTCTATGGTCAAGAGAGGTCTTCAGGATGGTGGAAAGGAAGGCAATGGCGGTAATGCTGCTGCTGCTTCTGCTGCTAAGGATGAGTTGTGAGCGACATCGGGAGGGGATGGCGTTATACGTTATGAATGATAATGAGGACTTGCATGGGTTTGGTCGACGTCAAAAGAATGTACATAAAACGGAGAGGGTGTATATTATAGCAGAAGGAATCATCATTGGAATCATTGAACTACTCTAGTTCTTTCAGTCTGGTTTCACGGCAAATACTGCCACTGATTTTGAGAATGTTGACTGACAGGGAGGATCATAAGATGAACTTGGTAAAGCCAACAAAAGAGTCGGGAGGAACTACCTCAACGGCTTCACCTGCAAGGTTTCCTTTGTTGGTGACATAGCGCAAGTCTGACTTGGGATGGGTGTAATGTTTAAGTGGCTATTTGGACCATCATCTCACCGCAGTAGCAAACAGGCTATGAAGCCTCGCCGTGCAACCCCATCTAGTATCAAAGGAACGTGTCTATGTTACAGGTAACACTCGAGCCTTCGAGTCCTACGGCTCTCAGACCTATAGAAGGCTTGTGAGCAGCCTGTGAGAACTTTGATGTGGCACGGAAACGGTCGAGCTTTGGTGTCCGCAATTGAACACCCAATACTTTATATTACTCTATATCAGTACGAACCATCATTGGTTGATGAATCGTGTTTTTTCTAATATCTATGGAGTAGTTCAGTACAGATACTCGCTACTGGTTAACTACGAGTTTCGCTTGGCATACGTGGTCATAGATCTAGTAGATATGATTAATAGATCCCTGAGGTGGTCACGTTCTCTCAAGGATAGAATGTACATAGTTAAGATGGATTCCTTGACACTGACAGCACAAAGGGGGCATGGCACTCTCAGGGATGATAGGCGAGGTCTGGAGTTCGCCAAGATGGGATAGTAGTTAGTAGCTGGTCAAGGCGCAGTATCCGTAGCATCGCGGGACGTGGGATCAGAAATGGAACCACTAACAGCAGTAGTAGCATTGAAAGAAATGCCATTCTCAGACCGATGTTTCTGCTCAACTCAGTTGGGTGAGAGTTGGTGAACATTATGCGCAAGCGGAAGAACAAGACTCTCAGCATCAACCTAGAGCCATTGAAAGCGGGTGGCGCGCCTGCGAAGCGCCTGAGACGCTTCCGAAAATAGAATAGAATTGACTTCCATGTTCTGAAGGCGATTGTGTTTGGGAGTGAAATGCTTCAAGACTAGGGCCTTGTTGATGTTTCACGGCGACTGGGGACCATGTAACAAGGGGAAGAACACGAATCGAATCGTCTTGTCCGTCTTCTCGCCTGTACGACTTGTACTTGTACAGAACTTTGAAGTGGAAAAAGAGATTGGGTGTTGTAGCCGCCATAGAGAGGGCTTGTTCTGCAGCAGGTCTTATACGAGCGGCTGTTTAGACCGAGTAACGACGAACTGCCTGATATTGGTGGCTCTGTTGGATCTGCAAGAGTCTCGCTGAGGGCATTTGAGCGTTTCAAGTGACGCGGGTGAAGTTACTCTTTGAGCATTGAGCAAGTTTAGCGCGACGAAACGGGCGGACCGTCAGACCCATTAATGAGTAACCCATCCATGCCTTACGGAGTACATACATAATCATGAGTTAGGGGTCCAGTTTGTGCCAGGGGTGAGGAGGAGAGGTTGAATTGTGGGATATGGAAAATAATGGATGTGTACCTACTCCGTAATCACAGGTTAGTTAAAAATCGGGATACGTATGCATGAGCTGTAATGGTCATAGATCTTGGTAGAGGCACAGCCGAGGAATGCTTTCTTTCACTGATGGTGACTCTTGAAATGAGTACATAGATTCTCGTATATGCTGCATCCAAAGTCTATTCAGCATTGCTTTAATCCCAATTTCATCATCATGCTATTTTATCCCGAAACAAAACCGACCTAGCTCAGAGTGGACAAGTCATATCTGCTTTCATCAGGGCCTACCTGAAAAGTAATTATCTGCACAGAGCAATTACATACATACATACACACAGAGAGTCCTAATAATAGCAGACTGGCTACCCCTATCTGATCCTGAGCCCAGAATCGATCGCGTGGTATGGATGGATGGATGGATGGATGGATGGTTATTCGCCGGCAGATCCAAGAGGGCCAAGCCGAGACAAACAGTCCAGTCTCCCAGTCCCAGATGGACGGACGGGATTGGATTGCATGTTTCGCAAGGAGAAGCTTGTCTGTATGTAACATTGCAGTGCATATAATATTATGTATGTACGGAGTATGTATGGTAGTTACATCTCCAACACTGGACATGCTCAAACGACGGAACCGGTCGATGAAGGAAGGGTTGCTATTGATGGAAACTCATTATCCAGGACTAACCTTTTGCCGTATGTCTATGTTCTGATACACTTGTTGGTTTACTTCAGGCTGTTTCTATTGTCATTCTCAACTGGTATTGACTGACGATCAACGATTTCGGTTCAGTCCGTCACCGACCTTTAGTGACAACTAATCGACATGATCCCTGTCAGGGTCATTAAACTATCGGAGCAGCCAATTCCAACCTTGACCCCCTTTAGGCAATGGTCCCCTTGTCCAAATGTCCCCTCACGGGCCCCCTGATGTCGATGCTGGCCCCCCAGGCTAGCCAGGCCCCAGAGCCTCCCCTTCTCCACAGCCCAACAGAGGCAGAGGCAGAGGCAGAGGCAATGTGTTGTCTGTTCTGTTCTGTCTCTTTGAACCACGAGACTTGGCCTTCAGCTCCCCCTGAAAAGATGCACCAATCCTCTCCTTTCAGTTCCTGACTGGCTCGCCGTTGTCCGTCGTCGGTAGCCTCTAAGCCCGTCTCGGTTCTAGTTCAATAGCTTTCACCTGTAGCCTTGACCGTTCATTTTGTGTTGGTGCTTTGTGCATGTGCTGTTTGATGAATTGTGCATCCACTCACTCACTTACTCACTGTCTCTTGTCTTCTTTCCTTTCCACCATGGCCGTGAATTGACCACCTCATGACTCTATTCATCCACCATGCAGTTGGTTAGCGGAGGCACTGAGTTAGTACCTAGTAGGCATATTGTACATAATTATTTTATCACCATTGGATTGCTGCATTCATTCTTTTGTCTTCTTTTCACGATCAGCAAGTCATCTTTGATCATTCTTTCCGTTCTCAATCTTCTTAACTTCATACGTTCATTCCTTCTTTTACTTCCATTCTTATTATCAATCCCTCCTTTTCCCAACAACCTCGTCTTCTCATAACCTCAACATCTACGGATACCTACCTTACCTTTTCTTCTTACTTCTTCTTCTTTCATTTCATAATTATCCCTTCTCAGTCTACAACTCCACCCACCCACCGAACCCTCCTCCACCTCATTCCCTACCAGGTTTGTCTGGCCTTTTTTTCTCTCCCTCCCTGGCGCCTCTTTGCTCATTTAAGCATTATTACCTTGCATTATTTCCAACCTACTGGACTGGCCTCTTTATACCTACAGGCTATGGTCTACCGCCCACAGCTAATCACTTGAGCTTCTATTACATTACTTGTCGGCCTGAGGCTCACCCAACACACCCCCTGTGTTTCCTGGTCCCTGATTCTTTGGAGGTCGACCTAGACGGCATCGAAATTCATCCCTCTCCCTCCCTCCTTTGACTCCTTCTTCCCTCCACATCTGTGCCGTCCTCTCATCGACGCTGACTTTTGTCTGTTCTCTTCTTCGTCAAGTCTCGTCTCTCATACTCACTCACTGTCTGGGACTTTCATTGATTGCTCCTTGGCAGATGCAGTGTCGTTCTTCTTCCTTCTGCTGAGACAACACTTTTCGGCTTCGTCGACACTCGTTTCGGCCATATTGCTTTATTAATACTTTTACCTGCTCAGCTCACTTTGTCCCTGGATATCATCCTCAGCTCGGCAAAGCTACGCACACTCGTGCTTTACATTTCTCGTTCGACATTTCGATACACTCGCTCTTGCAACCGATTACCATTGTTTTGCATCTTCAGCCTCACCAAACCCTACGGTTTCGATTCGGCCGAAAGTCTTTCAAATTCGATCACCATATATACCAAACGGTCGCTTCCTGGAACGACCTTTTTCATTTTACAGGGCTGCCTTGACTTATTCTCTTTCGAATAAGTCAATCTGCTTCATAATACTCGATTTTATCGACTTTATTCTGCATAACTAGTTGCTTTAGCATTGTTATACAGCCTGCTTTGACTCGTTGGATTCTCGTGAAAAATCAACTCTGCTTTCAGTGAACTTTGAGACTTGGAACGTCTGAGATTCTTCAGTCGGATCAGCCCCCAACTTCACAGCTCTCTCCGTGCCTTACTCGGGCACAACCAGTTCTTCAAAACGGCTGTACTGTCGCACGTCGGGCGGGACTCGCTCGTCCCCCCTCATCTGCTCGGTATGCAAGACCTAAATGGACCCGTTGGCCAGGGTGCCCCTAATGGCCCTGCCAACCGCTTCGGACATGCCTCCAAGCCTTCCAACAGCGATACTGGTTTCTCTCATGGCGCCTTTAATTCCAACATCTCTGGCTTCGCCGACCGACATCCTCGACGAGGCAACATCCCTTCGATCAACACCCAGCCTCAGCCTATGGTCCAGCAGGTTTCGAACAATGGAGTGGACATGGCTACCCCGGGGACTGCATTTGATATGCAGTTTACCCCCCTTTTGCCTTCTCAACTGCTTCTCGGCAGCCCTTTCCAGCCCGGTACCCCGGCTGCTTTTGCCAGCCCTCAATTTCAGAGCATCGCTGGATTTCAGCAACAGCAGGGGAACAACCAGCAGCAGAATGGTATCTCCAGCCCTGTGCAGCAGACCATTTCTCCTCAGTCATACCAGGGAATAGTGTCTCCGTCCACTTATGGTGCCCCTCAATTCTACCCTCCCCAGTCCCCTACTGGCGGGTTTGGCATGCAGGCACCTCTGCCTCCTACCTCTCCCGTCTCAATGGGATCCGGTGTTGTTACAGGAACCAGCCGAACTGTTTACCTTGGTAACATCCCTCCGGACACTGTGGCTGAGGAGATTCTTGGTCATGTCCGAAGTGGTCAAATCGAG